ATTGTCCAATCGCCAATGGGGTAAAGTTTTGATCAGCTGCACATGAGGACAAAGCCCAAAATAGTTCCAGTGTATTTGTGGCTTCGGCTGGTCAAATAGCAGGAGCGCTTGTGGTCAAATGAAGAAGGTCTCCCCCTGTTTGCGATTGCTCCAATTAGTCTGTAGTACCTTCCCTTCAAAAAGTGCTCTCCTGGCATGTCAGCAAGTGGGGCTAAACAGTGGCTTATGGTTACCAGGAGCCACAAGTTCAAGAGGTTATATTTGAGTTCCAGGAGGTTTGCGGCCAGGTACCGCTGGGGTCTGTTTGAGAGTTTGTGTAGCCGAACAGCTGCCAGGAGTTGAGCGAACCTGGACTGTAAAGTTCGGGTTCGTACCGAACATTAAGTTTTTTGGACCCCGGACCCGAACACGGACATATCAGTGTATGTTCTGGTTGGAGTTCGGTGTTTGGCGATTTAATGGCGCGTTTTATATAAGCTGGAGTCGCGTAGCGCCCACGCTCATGAACTCTTATTAGTGTAGGGAAAGGATGCTGCAGCTGTGAGGGACAGATTAGGAAAGAATTCTGGTGTTGAACTACAGCGATTATTCAAACTACAGCGATTATTTTTGTGGGTGCTATAATACTACATTTTTGTACCCTGCCCTGAGCCCAGTGCCACAGAGTGCAGTGCACTTACAACTGCATGTGTGCCAGGCACATTACTTTAATCCTGTTCTGGTAGCTCAGTGGACAACATCTAGGCATTTTTAAATACAGCATTTTTTTTGGTGCTAAATAGTACATTTGCGTGCTGCATTTCTTGCAGTCCAATAAAACCCTTAAATACTACTGTTACATTGTTGGTTTAAAAAAATCTAACTTTTTGGTGCTAAATAGTACATTTGCGTCCCGCGGTGCACTTCATATCTGAGAGTCAAATAGAACCGTCAAATACTGTGCTTACAGCGCAGTTTGAAACATTCAAATTTTTTTGCTGCTAAATAGTACATTTTTGGCCTGCGGTGCACTTCATATCTGAGAGTCAAATAGAGCCATCAAATACTGTGGTTACGGCGCATTTGTTAACATTCAAATTGTTTTGGTGCTAAATAGTACATTTGGTGTGTGTACTTCATATCTGAGAGTCAAATAGAACCGTCAAATACTGTGCTTATATTGCAGTTTTAAACATTCAAATTCTTTAGGTGCTAAAAAGTAAATTTGGGGCATGCACTTCATATCTGAGAGTCAAAAAGAACCGTCAAATACTGTGCTTTAAACATTCAAATTGTTTTGGTGCTAAATAGTACATCTGAGAGTCAAATAGAACCATCAAATTGTCAGGATTACTGTTTGATCCAGCACGTAGAACTGTACAGCACGGATGACAAATAAGTAACGTATTACCGGTCCTTAGAATGGCCGGATTTAACATACAAAGAATAGTCAAAAATACTAGCCGAGGTCAGGGAACACAGAAAGGGACACAGCGATGAGGAAAGCCAGGAGTCAGGATACCAGAATATAGAGAAGTCAATAAACAAAGCCAAAGTCAAAAACCAGGTAGAAAACTATAAACAGGAACGCGCTCTCAGACAACCACAAGGGAAACCACGACAGGGCACTGAGCAGGCTGAGAACTCGGCCTAAATACCCCTCCTTTAGTTCTGATAGGCTGTAACCGGCCTTTGACCCCAAAGTCAGTTACCAGCAGGGGCGGACTGACCGGTCGGGCACTTCGGACACGGTCCGAGGGCGCGGCCGTGAGGGGGGCCCGCCGCCAGGGCCGCCTTCAGGGGGCCCGGCGGCAGGGCTGGATTGGGGACTTGAGCGGAAGGTGCCACCGGGTGGCCGGTCCGGTGGCACACTGTGAGGGGGGGGCTGCCGTTTGATGCTGCAGCCGCCGGACCGGGTAGCAGCCTCGCCGGTCCGGCGGTATTCCTCTCACTAACAGTGGAGGAGGAGCATGTGTCTATCATGCTCCCTGCGGTTCCCACAATTCCCAGCACAGGATGTGGGAACCGCAAAGGAGCATGACAGACACATGCTCCTCCTCCACTGTTAGTGAGAGGAATGCCGCCGGACCGGCGAGGCTGCCACCCGGTCCGGCGGCTCCAGCATCAAACGGCCGGCCCCCTCAGACTTTTAGTAAGTGGGGGGAGAGATGGGGAGGGGGGAGAAAGA